TGGCATTTTATGATCCAAATCGACCTACAAAATTAACAGTGGATGCAAGTCCTGTCGGACTTGGTGCAGTATTAGCCCAAACACAAGAAAATGGGAAAGATCGCTGCATAGCGTATGCTAGTCGTTCCCTAACGCCTGTGGAAGCTCGCTACTCGCAGACCGAAAAAGAAGCATTGGCTGCAGTGTGGGGTTGTGAACGTTTTCATCTTTACCTTGTTGGAACACAATTTGACCTCATCACTGACCACAACCCATTGGAAGTCATTTACAGCCCAAAGTCCAAACCGCCACTCCGGATAGAACGTTGGTTACTACGATTGCAACAATACAAGTTTAATATCAAGTATCGACCAGGTAGCAGCAACCCAGCTGACGTGTTGTCTCGACAACCTTTATTCACCAACTACAAGTCAAGTACCATAGCGGAGAAATATGTCAATTTCATCCAAAGTCACTCGGTTCCTAAATCTCTCACGCTCGATGAGATTCGTATCGCAACGTTAAATGATCCTGAACTGCAGAGAGTAACTAGCGCAGTAAAGGAAGATCGATGGAACAAAACAGATAGTTGTTTAAGCCCATATCGTAATCAGCACGAACAGTTGACAGTTTCGGAGTTATACTACGAAATTCACAAATCGTTATCCCAAAGAGTCTCCGTAGTCGTGTCCTTTCTATCGCTCATGAAGGACATCAAGGGATAGTTAAAACTAAAATGCTTGTACGCAGTAAAGTATGGTGGCCTGGTATTGACAAGCAAGTGGAGCAAATGGTTAAAGAATGTGTACCCTGCCAAGCAGCAGTACACCAGTCACCAAAATGTCAACCACCCCTGAATATGACAAAGTTACCTCCACATCCTTGGCACACACTTAATGCAGATTTCTGTGGTCCAATCCTAAATGGCGAGAAATTGTTGGTCGTGATTGACGCCTATTCCAGATATCCAGAAGTTGAAGTGATGCAAAGCACGACAACCACGGTTGTGATCTCCAAACTCCAAAGAATCTTTGCCCGACATGGATATCCCGAAGAATTGATAATCGATAACGGACCCCCGTTCAATGCGGTTGAGTTCACCGAATACCTAGCTGCACATGGAGTCCATCACCGCCGAATCACACCTTATTGGCCTCAAGCCAACGGTGAGGCAGAGCGATTCATGAAAACAGTAACAAAAGCAATCCGTACTGCTCATTCGGAAGGAAAAAGATGGCAAAGTGAATTAGATCTTTTTCTTCTCAACTACAGATCCACACCTCATTCTACGACACACATTAGTCCAGCTGAACTTTTGTTCAATCGCTCAATTAGAAATAAGCTTCCTAGTTTCTCATCCCTACAACACAATGATGGCCCTGTGGAACACCACGTTGTTCGAGATAAGGAGGAAAAGGAGAAAATGAAAGTCCATGCTGATAGAAGAAACAACGCGAAAGAAAGTCAGTTGAAAGTTGGTGATTACGTGCTAATGCAAGTTCCGAAGGACAATAAGTTATCAATGCCTTTCAATCCAAAACCATTTAAAGTGATTGAAATCAAAGGCAACATGGTAACAGCTCGTAATACAGAGCGCACCGTAACCCGGAATGTATCGTGTTTCAAATGTCTCACAAATTACAAGAACGCAAGTGAGGAAGACCAGAATGATGAAGAAGACGATTTTGACGACGGCATAGTAGAAAACCAGCAACCAACAATAGTTGAAGAGCAACAACAAGATCTACCAGATCTACAACAAAGGTATTGTCTTAGACAAAATCGAAGACCACCGGACTTTTATAGAAGTTAGACATGTTAAAACTAGTTAAATAATTACTGGTAAAGCAGACACGTAGACTTTATAAGGTAATATTCAATAAACAGCAATTAACATTAATGAGTTATTTTAAAGAAAAGGAGGGATGTAATGTAGTCACGTCATGTCACGTGATGTAATATATATTTAGGTATCAGAAAGAGACCACGTGTAAGGAAATAGGGTTTTGATATTGAAGGCAATAAAAGTACATTTTGATACTGTACAACTTGTACTAAAGAGATACATTATAGTTGATAAGTAACATTTTAACGGATTTAAAGTTTTACGTGCGTATACGTACGTATGAAAAACGCAAAAGTGGAAATCAGCCTTAAGAGTTTGGGCCGATACCAACTCTAGCGCTTGAGTGATCTCCTAACTTTCCAAGTGCTCAACAACTCGATTGAGCACGCCAAATCATGATATACGATTTTACCAAAACACAAGTTTTTCTTACGATTAAATTTCAATTTCTCCTAACGCAAGCAAAATACTAAAACGTTTTTGATTGGTTGCGCGAAAATCGGCTGATCGGACTTTGCAAGCTTGCCATATATGGCAATCAAATGCAAGTGGGGCTTCAAAAATTCAAAATAATCGAAATTTTATTGACATTTTGATCATTTAAGGCTTTGCTTTTATTGGTAGAAAAGGGAGCAGACAGTTAAGGGTACTTGTTTTATTATATTAACAAATATTTATTTCAATATTTGCCGCGTTTATACAGTTTTGTTGTTATACAATAGATCATTGTGTTGTGGTCTGACTCAATTTATGTTTTTCTTACTTGAATTTTTCATTTGTTTCCCACTGGTATTACCTATTCTGGAAACTGTACCATATTTTAATGTAGCCAGAATCCAGTTTACCAGTTTTGCTGTTTTATACGTGCGTTTTTCTCAAATGTTTCTGCCGAACTTTATGATAAACACGGCAAAAACTCGCATCAACTCACGAGTATAAGCTTTCAACTTGGCTTTTTACACATGATTTGGTAAAAATAAATAAATTATTGGTCAAAAGTAAATGGCTGTGTGTTTTTTATTTTCAATTTGATTGAGAAAAATCGGTTCTTGTTTTGGCAGGATTGCTGTTAGAAATAAACTTATTCGGAATTTTGTCGCTAAGCCATCATTACCTAGGCTGCGTGTACGCCCTAAAAGACCCTTGGCAGTTAGCCTGTAAAAACGACGTTCTTCCTTCGACCGTGCACATACACGCGAACTCAAAATCGCTTGGAGGCAAAAAAATTGTCATCCATCTCCATTGCACCAGATTTAGACTGAAATTCATCGTCAATAATTTTCGATATTCTGGAAATTTGATGTTATTTGAATCCTACATTACAATTTCTTTACACCAGGTTTTTCTTCAAGTATTAATAATCCTGACTGGGAACTATAACTTCTTCAATTTACTCACCATCATTCTCTGTCTGTCGCTTGTTGATGACAAGCTTTTGGGAATTAAGTCAATTGAGTGTCATGGAGAATCCGGATCGTCAGGTATTAAATTTAATTTTGTAGAAATCGTTTAATTTATCCCTGTTTCATACGCCGTACAGTACTTCACATGTGCCTAAATCAATTCAAGAAGTTATAGGTACGGCTAAAGCACGGCGTCTGAATCAAATTAAGTTCTGCAACTTAATTTGTTAGGAAAAATAATTATACAGTACAACTGCAGTTTACGGACACCAGTGTGTCGCTGTCCAGCCGGTAAATACACGTTTTGGCGGGAAATAGCCCTAACCCCAAGTTAAAGGTTACCTTATTCTATACTTATATGTAGGGTATTTTTCTTATAAACCTGTCTAATAATTTGAGGGTAGTAGGATGCGGGGGTTAAGATATCGTAGATCTGGCATGTACATATATTATTGTATAGTGTATACCAGGAATAGAAATGTTATATGATGTTAAGTAGGTAAGGAAGCAGTTACAAAATCCAATGAAGAAAGGAAAAATTGTGAAACAGCAAACAAAGCAGAGTCAAAGCCATTATTAGAGGGTAAACACCAAGGTATGTAAGTTGTGAAGAAGTTACCGACAGTGACGTTACTTGTGTTTGAGGTCGGCTATTTTGCGAGTCTGCTAGTCATACGAGTCGTGCGAGTTTTGCGAGTCGTGCGAGTCTTGTGAATTTTGATCAAATGCAGGTGGTCATCATGGATCTTCGTAAAAGTTGAGTAAATAATTTTGTAAACGCACCGTAATTCAATGTATTGCGAAGGTGTGTATTTCAAACCATTAATTGTAAATTATTTAAAGATGCTGTGAAGTCCGTTCTGCGCATAACAAAGTAGCCTGCTCGCAAACGACGAAAATTCGTCGCTTGGCGTAAGAATAACAACGTCTGCGAGCAGGCTAATAACAAAGGGGCCCAAAGGGGAACTCACAGATATAGACATTGCTCAAATTTTGCATCTTTCGAACTGTTTTGAATTAATTATTAAAACGTCTAGTTTATGTACTATTTAAAAAACGAGCAGGAGTGTTTTATTAGGTTTAAAGCCACGAGCGCGCAGCGCGAGTGGCTTTAGACCTATAATAAAACACGACCCGCGAGTTTTTTAAATGACTTCAAAAACGTATGCATAATAAGTCAAATCTTTATATAAAAATCTTTATATAAAATCTTTATATAAAAATCTTTATATAAAAATCTTTATATAGTTTGCATAACCATAGTCTTTTGTTAAAGTGTTCTTTAGCTGGTATAAAGACGTATACACGTGACTAATTTCTTACTCAAGATTGGATAATTGCTTCATGAATTATTAATGAGTTTTTGAAGTACTATTTAAAACACGAGTAGGAGTGTTTTATTAGATATAAAACGCGAGGCGCAGCCGAGCGTTTTATGTCTGATAAAACACGACAACGAGTGTTTTGAATAGCTTAAAATACGACTACAAAAGAATACTAATTAGGATGAACAATTATATAGTGCCTCGTGCTTTATCAGATATAAGGATACTTAAGTCCTTACCAATGTGGCTTTCGAAAAAGCCATTCGACCGAGACGGCGGCTATAGCTTTTACCAGGGCGAAGGGAGAGAGGGCGTAGAAACAGACTCTATTCGCCGAAATATGGACCAAGGTCTTTTGACTGGGTCTGTATTTACAGACCTTCGCAAGGCATTTGATACCATTGATCAGTTTGTGTTATTGAATAAATTAACGAAATATGGAATAAACGACCTTGAACTTGAGTGGTTTAACAACTACCTATTACGACGATCACAGGTAGTTTGCTTAGGAAATGTTGTTTCGGAACAGTGTCAGGTATTATCAGGTGTTCCTCAGGGTCTATTTTAGGTTCCTTGCTGTTTGTTATATTTGTGAATGATCTTCCATCCGTTTTTTCGAAATGTCAAGTTCTCATGTATGCAGACGACACTGTGATTTACTACGCATCAAAAACTGTTCCTGAAATCGAACAGATCCTAACCAATGAATTTGCCTGTCTGTGTCTGTGTCAGTGGCTCCTGGATAACAATCTCTTCCTGAATGTGAAAAAAACTGAATGTCGTTTGTTTGGTACAGCGCCTAGACTGTCCAAAGTGAACGATTTTACCGTAATGACAGGAAATTCTGTGCTTCGTCGTGTTATTGAATTCAAATACTTGGGGGTAGTGTTAGACGAATGTTTAAACTGGAAAGCCCAAACATCTGCTGTTTTCTCAAAAGTCAGTAGAGGGATTGGTATGTTACGGCGAATAAGAAGTGATATTACAGTTAATGCGGCAGATAAGGTGTATAAATCATTTATCCTTCCTATGTTGGATTACTGCGACACTGTATGGACTTGTAACAAATGTGATGGTGAAAGACTTGAACGATTACAAAGACGTGCTGCAAAGGTTGTTTACCTCTCCAGTAATGATGTGATGACTAGTTTAAGATGGACTCCCTTGTATAAGAGAAGGGGACAAAAAATCTTTGACCGGGACAGTACCTCAGTTTTTAACTAATTATTTTACTTTTAATCGAGATATTCATGAAAGATCGACCAGACAAAGTAATCAGCTCCACCTTCCTAAGGTGAAGACTGAAAGTGCGAAAAGATCTTTCTACTATAACGGTTGCATAGTATATAACTCTTTTATTAAGTAAATATTTTGAAGGGAAATCTATAAGCGTTGGGGGGTAGTTGGGGGTACTTTTTTGCATGCAAAAATTGTATATATATATATATATTTAGATGTTTTTTGTAATTTAGCAGGACCCCTATTGATACCAGCATGTAGTTCGTGCTGACAGGGTTATCCTGCTTAAATGAAATTTCTGTCTATCTATCTAAGTCACTCCACGTGACATATTATGGCTGACATGATTTGCCATAAGGTTTATGAATTATTAATGAGTATTTTAAATTCATTTACAAGCATAGCGAACCAGAAAAGTGTCAGATATTCAGTTAGTATATCATATTTTACAAATATACCAGTTCAAAATGTAAACAAAGCAATTTGTTTACATTTGGACTTTACAGCATCTTTAAAGTTGTGTTGTGCATTGTGAAAATTAGCAGAGATTAGTCAAAGTGTAAATGAGGCAAATCTTCTGACAATTTTCTTTCTGCGGCAGACTCTGCATGGTGCACCTGCGCGGCGTTTAAAAACACGTCCTAAAACCTGAAACTACCGTAACCACCGAAATGAGTTATTAGCTTTAGGCTTCACTTCCACAAACTGTGAACATATTTTGTTCAATTTAGCACAAGAAAAACCGCCAATATAGCTTTATATTTAGTTATAAGTGAGATCTGACTGGGTAGTGTAGTGTACCAATTTTAAATGTTCTCAAAAAAATGAAGTGTTTAATAACCCGACCTGATTGTATTCTTTTGTCCTGTAAATTAGTCTACAATTTCTATTGAAATCGCAGCGTTTTTCTTTAATTTAAAAACGAAGGCAATTTTACAATAACAGTTGACACAACACAGTCACAGTTTTAAAAAGCAAGACCTTCTCTTGATTTTTATAAAGTTTTATTTAAATTATGTGCGACATAAATTTGCACACCCGTGCGTCTCTCTCTGACATACAACACTGATCTATTGTTCAAGCGTCCAGCCACGAATCACACGAGGCAATTCACGTGACTGTATTTAACCAATTACAATATGGACTATATACAAACACAACATGAAGTAATTCACTTATAACATCCTCCCAACCAAAGATTAAAGTTTGAATAGTTTAAAATATTTAGGTATATTGTTCGCGAATTCGACGCATGGCCTGTCCTTCAACCGCCGCTTTCCTTTTAGGCCGTGCGTTGATAACATCGTCTTGAACCACAATCCCCTTTGGAACTTCATCGTTCTCACTATCTTCCTCTGCATCTACGTCATTTGCTGAGTTTATTGTAGATTTATCTCGAATTTCAAAGGGAATCAAACGCTGAACGGGTCGATGTACCGATGATTGTTTTCCGGCTTTCGGCTTTCAACAGCGCCTTCAACCGTGCACCTCGAACTTGTCCGTCCCGTCACCTTACAAGTTCTAACACTCTTCCTATTCTCCACTGCGTACGTGGAGCAGGTTCGTCATCTTTGATTAGAACAACGTCGTCTACCGTGATATTGTTGTCGTTATTACTTTTGACCTTTCTGTATAGATTCGTTTGACGAAGTTCGTTCAGGTAATTCGTGCGAAAACGCTTCCAAAAATCCTTTAGTACCTTTCGTAAATGCCACAACCGTTGTTTGCGACTATCTAAACTAGAGATTGCTACACAGTCTACCGATCTGAATTGCTTTCCCGTAGAAACACTGCGACCGTACATTAAGTGAAATGGTGTCAGCGCTTCGTCCAAATCATCTTCGCTTACGTAGGCCAATGGTCGATTGTTTACCGCGACTTCGATATCACACAGAATAGTCTGCAGTTCTTCAAATGTCACAAACGCTTTGCCTAGAGCTTTCTTAAGACAAGCTTTTACCGTTCTAACTAGTCGCTCGTAGAATCCTCCCCACCATGGCGATGCTGGTAAGATAAAACGTTGCCTAACGCCTTGAAGTAACATGAACTTCTTCACTTCGGATGACCGGAAGGTTTTAAAGTTGTCGCTGATTACGAGCTCGGGAACACCTCGACGTGATACGAATCGCTTAAATCCCCGCAAGAATCCATGTATAGACATGTCCGGTACTAGCTCCAAATGAATGGCTCGACTCGAAGCACACGTAAGCAAAAGGATATAACACTTCTTACTCTTTGATCCATCTTTAATAAATAAAGGTCCCGCAAAGTCAAGTCCGGTGAACTGAAACGCGTACGCCATATGATCCACTCTGTATTCCGGTAAATCTGGGCTAGAAGGCGCCCGCACAGGTTGACCTTGATAACGCGTACAAATTACACACTTTCGAATTACTTCTTTAACGCTTTTCCTCCCCTTAACGATCCAGTAGTTCCTTCGAATTCGTGCCAGCGTTGTCTCAATACCGTGATGCATTGTAGCTTCATGCGCCTCCAAAATAATCAGACGAGTAAAGTAACTACTGTCCTTGCTACGAAGTATTACCGGGTGTTGTTCCTCGTACTCTAAAGATGAATTTGCAAACCGTCCCTTTAAACGCATAAGTCCAACCTTGTCTTCGAACAACCGCAGTGAAGCACAAAGATTAGTATAGTTTGCTTGTTCTTTCATCAGTATCTGCTCTTCCTTTATCCACATCTCTAAAGCTTTATTATAGTCATCGACTGTCAGTACACTATATCACTGACGATATCACCATCAAGTTTTCTCACTCGCTTCTTTAAATTGTTCACAAATCTCATTACGTAGCCAGTTGTTAGTAGCATTTTCTTCAATGAGCTGTAACGAGTGCAATCAATGACAGCACCCATTGAACATCTGCTGTTGTTAGGCGTGCCCTTCTCTGTCGTGTTACTGAAGTTGACAACTTCAGTAGGAACTTCTACATTAACCCTCCCAACCAAAGAGTTTTCGTTACCACAACTAGCTTTTACCCTGTCAACTTCCAACTCCTGTGACCACAACATCAAAGGTCCCTTAAACCAACAGCCCGAAAAAGAATCTTTTAAATTTGAAGACAGTCGAGTAGGGATATCGGCAGGATTTACCTCACCCCTAACAAAATGCCACTTCTCACGATCCACCACTTTCCTTATAGCCACAACCCTATTCTCAATCCAAGGCTCCCAACTCTTCTCTTTCCCATTAACCCAACAAAGAGCAACCTCGGAATCAGTCCAACAGAATATATCATGCAAATTAATTCGGTTTTCAACTCCTATGAGTACTTCACGAATTAATTTGCTAAGGAGTAAGCACCCCCAAGAGTTCTAACCGAGGAATCGTGAGTGTTTTTAAGGGAGCTACCTTAGTTTTTGAAGCTAAAAAACATACATGGACCGCGCCCTGATAGACGAGCCGTAGGTAGACAACCGCACAGTAAACTTCTTTAGAGCTATCACAAAAACCATGAAGCTCTATACGACTACCGGAGGACAAATTAGATGTAAACACAAACCGACTATGCCGTACTTCCGCGAGCTGTTTTAACCGGCTTCAGATAAAATTGCCTTCTATCATATAGGGCTTTACCCTCCTCAAGTTTATTACAGCCACTAACCAAATCATCAACATAAAGATCATCTATAACTCGCTGTGCTATTTCTCTTTCTTTCTCTAAGTAATTACTGAGGTGATGTCGTATTGTCCCATTCAATAAGAATGGACTACTTGTAATTCCGAAAACTACTCTTAAAAACCTGTAAGTTACTACCTGCTCATCCTCAGTTTGCAAATCATACCACAAAAATCTAAGGTAGTCTCTATGCTGTGCATCTATACCAACATTTAGAAAAGCTTGTTTTATGTCAGCTAATACCCCAATCTTATTCAATCTAAACCTAAGTAAAATGTCAAAAATCTTAGCTATCAGGTTAGGACCTGAATAAAGGCATTCATTTAAGAAGGACCACTGACTTTACATGAGGCATCAAATACTGCACGTATTTTGGTAGTCTGTTTATCATTACGTATAACCGGCCTATGGGGAAGGTAGTGTACTTGCCCTGTTTCCCTTGCAACCTCAGCTGATGAAACACGCTCTATTATACCGTTTTCTTCGTACTCCGAGAATATTTGATTGTACTCATGCAAAATGTTACTCGCAACCAACTTATTCTTTAGTGATTTAAGCCGTCCTTCACAAACCTTAAAATTGTCAGGGAGCACCTCATGATCAGGTTTAAATGGTAATTTTGTGATGTACCTAGTTCCGTCATGAATAATGTCATTTTCGAATTGGTCAACAACACTGTCAGTTTTAGTGCCTATGCTCTCCACATTCCAAAACTTATCCAGTTCTTGCCGTAAGCTTATGTCTGACTCTGACTCTGACTGCTCCACCGAAGCACGTAGCAAATGTGTTTCAAAACAATGCATATCTGATGCACTTGAGCCAATTCGACCACTAAGTACCCACCCCACTCTAGTTTTACATGCAACAGGGCCTAATTTACTTCTTATAACCTTACCAGTCATAAAGACATGGTAAAAGTCGATGCCAATCAAAATGCCGACCGGGAGATATTGGTGTTGCTTGTGCTCAAAGTCAGCAAATTCCAACCCTGCAAATTCCGGTAATTTATGCACACTTGACAGGGGCTGATGTGTCAGCGGACTACATATGGTTGGGACACATAGGGCTTCTACAAATGTAAATCTAGCATCACCTTTATTTCTAACCTTAAGTTGAACAACATCAAGTTCCTGTACCTCACTATTCTCAGCCTGCCCAAAGGTTTTGATTACAACTTTCTCCACTCTAATGGACCATTTGCATTATAGACTAAATTTTCATCTTGACAAAAATTTCATCACAGCTTGAAAGAGCATCACAAAATTAGTAATATTCCAAAGTTTCGTTGCGAAATGTTGTAAAATGCGGATAATATAGCCTTACGAAGTTTGCAATTTTCAGTCATTTTGTATTACAAACGGGAAATTGATGCCCCAACACCCGATTGGGCTGTCAAGTTCCCGTGCGTAATACAAAATGACAGAAAAACGGCAAACTTCGCATGGCTATATTATCCGCATTTTACAACATTTCGCAACGAAACTTTGGAGTATTACTAATTTTGTGATGCTCTTTCAAGCTGTGATGAAATTTTTGTCTTGATCAAAATTTAGTCTATAATGCAAATGGTCCATTGCCTTCAATTTCAGTGTACTTCTAACCTTCTCAGATATATACGACCTCTGACTACCGCTGTCAAATAAAATTCTAGTCTGGACTTGCACACTGTCATCTGTAGGTAGGCTAATATATCCGCTCTAGCTGTCTGCAATAGTATACCGCTTTTATCGCAGTTAGCATGTACCACAAAACCCTTGTTATCATTAGTTGTTGCGTTCTTATCTTCCTCCCGATTTATACCTGGGGGATCTGCTGGTGTATGTTCGCATATGGATATATGGTGCTTGCCAGTCTTACACTTCCTACATAAATAATGGGACTTACAATTTTTGGCAATATGTCCAGTATCTAAGCATATAAAACACCGCTTGTTTCTATGATGAATGTCCCTCCTTGCCACAATACACGCATGCAATCTTATTGGTCTGACCAAACAAACCACTAGTAGTATAATATCCCCCCTTTCTTTGGGATTCTTTCTGGATAAATCTATTCGAAGTGGATGCACTTTTCGAAGTGGATGATCTATTCGAAGTGGATTCTCTTGCGCTCGAAGCTCACTATTAAAATATTCCATGACTTTATCAAGTGTCCAGATCTCCTCGCCAAATTTTCTGGAAATAATCATGGTAATTTCGTCAGGCAATCTATCTTTTAAGATTGGAATTAGCAATGAGCCGTAACCAGATGTGTCAAGTTTAAGGGATTTCAAATTTCTTACACAACTCTCTACATGATTATAAAGCATCCTTAGCTCTTTAATATTATCCCTAGATGCTATCTTACTGATCCTCAATAGTGACTCCATGTGAGCAGATATTAAGATTTGTTCATTTCCAAATCTGCCTTTCAAAATTTCTATTGCTTCCTGATAGTTTTCTGAGTTCAAAGTTAAACTGATACAGCAGATAAACTTTCCCCTTTCAAACATCCCTTTGGGTAATTAAATTTGTCTATGTCACTTATACGTGTGTTACTATGAATTGCTACTCGGAATTGGTCCCCAAACCCTTGCCATGCCAGTGGATCTCCTGAAAACTCTGGTAATTGCATTTTAGGTAATCTACAATGCACTGCGCTGCCCTGCGCCTGAACGTTATTACCATCTGAAGCGCCTAAGGTATTCATTGGCTTCGTACTTTGATTAAACGCGCAGCTAGCCTTAAGTCTACTTTCGCCAAAACATGATAGCTGGGTTCTAACGCTTTCATATGTTCGACAACTGCAGCCTCTATGTTTTTTGGATCAAGCATGTTAATAATTTCATTATGAACAACGGCCAATTGTTCAAGAATACTCGAAACAGTATTTCTCAACCCCAAAATTTTCGCTTGCTCACAGTCTTCAGAAGAACATATTGGTCTAGTTCTTGTAAAAGAATTTTTAAATAAGCTGAAAGACCGGCAAGTCTACCTTTAACTTTGCCTAAATCAGTCGCCATCCTAACTTACTATATACCGAGCATGTGGTCACTAGACAAGACGACAATTAAACAACAAATATACACTAAAAACACAAACAATTACAACACTCTTTAAATCTTAAGAATTCACCAACAAAGCATGTTGACAATAAAAGTAAGACTGCATCGCCGCCAATGCAGCCCTTGATGTTTCAAATGAATAATATTGAGGATTTAATCAACTTGTCTAAAATTAACGATCTATGTGATATTGAAATCGATGTCTTGGGCGATGCATCCAAATCTGATGATATGCTTCTAAGTCCAAATAATTCTACTATAAAGGAACTTGAGGCCTTTATTGACAAGTCTTTCTATAGCGCCTCTGTCGAGCTATCTAATCCTGTCCAGCCGACGGACTTCTCTACTCTAGCGCAAAGACGCTCTGAAGAAAACCTGCCTAAACCCGAAGCTCAATTTCTAACATTTAAAGAAAACGTTGAAACTCGGCTGCAAGTTTTGTCGTACAAACTCTTTGAACAGAATAATACCATAAATATAAATAAACAAGAGCTATGCAAATTGACCTGCAAAAATTTACATCTTAAATCACGTATCTCGGAGTTGGAGGGGAGATTGTCGCCAAAGAATACAACGAATGGGAGTAGTGACCTGAGCCCGTGTGAAAAAATAGTTAAAGGAAATAATATCTTAACTGCGAATATAGATGCTTGTGCTATTTCTAGTCGCCTTTCGCCTGGAACAACTGCATATGTCGATGACAGCGATGAATATGCTATCTCAACTGCGAA